GTACACATCTTCTAATCATTCCATCCGTACAAATTTGGAAAAGGTACGGTTCATCCCAATAATAGTCTTGACAATCTCGTTTGAGTTTCTTTCTTTGGTTTGAAGAGAACTCCTCTGGGATGATAGCACTCACAAGAAAATTTGCTAGATCCGCGAACCATGGCACCTCTTTCATTGAAATGGCTAAGCGTTGCTCATCGGGTAAGGAGTCATTGATTTCAAGGCCATCATGCGGCATCCCCTCCTCCTCCAAACGAGACAAGTGGTCCGCCACTTGGTTTTCACTTCCTTTTCGGTCTTGGATGTCTATATCGAACTCTTGCAACAAAATCACCCATCTCACCAATCCAGCTTTGGAATCTTTCTTGCTCATACGGTAACGAAGTGACGCACGATCCGTGTGGACAATCACTTTTGTACCTATCAAGTACGGGCGGAACTTCTTAATAGCAAACACAATGGCAATGAGCTCTTTTTTGGTTACAGTGTAATTGACTTGGGCATCATTCACGGTCTTACTAACGTAGTAGACCGGATGAAAACTCTTGTTTATACGTTGCCCCAAAACTGCTCCAACTGCCACATCACTAGCATCACACATGAGCTCAAAAGGAATGCTCAAATTCAGGGCGGTGATAATGGGAGTAGTTGTCAACTTGAACTTGAGCATTCAAATGCCCTCATGTAATCATCATTGAAGTGAAAAATCTTTTATGAAACGCCAGTAGAACCTCGCATGACCCTAGAAACTTCTCACGCCCTTCACGGATGTTGGAGGTGGAAGTTTAGAAACTTCTTTGAAATCTTGTGGCCAAGGACAATACCCTCCTCGACCATGAAATGGCATTTCTCCTAATTGAACACCAAGTTCGTTTCTTCACACCTTGCCAATACCTTATCCAAATTTGCCAAGCAATCATAAAAGGAATCCCCGACTACCGAAAAATCATCCATAAGACTTCAAGGTAGTCCTCTACCATATCCGTAAAGATCGCCATCATACACCGTTAAAAAGTTGTCGGTGCATTGCATAAGCCAAATGGCATCCGCTTGAAAGCGAAAATGCCATAGGGACAAGTGAAAGTAGTTTTATCTTGATCTTCCGGGGCAATAAGGATTTGATTGTAGCCTGAATATCCATCCAGAAAGCAATAGAACGCCCGGCCGACCAACTGATCAAGCATTTGGTCAAGAAAGGGTAGTGGGAAATGGTCTTTCCTTGTGACTTAGTTTAGCTTCCGATAGTCCATGCACACTCTCTATCCGGTCACCGTTCTTGTTGGAATCAACTCGTTCTTATCATTGGTGACCACAGTTATGCCCCCCTTCTTCGGAACACATTGCACCGAAGAAGTCCACGAACTGTCAGAAATAGGGTAGACAACCCCGACATCCAACCACTTTATGATCTCCTTTTTGACCACCTCTTGCATTGCTTCATTGAGTCTCCTTTGATGTTCAATGGAGGGTTTGGCATCTTCCTCCAAAATAATCTTGTGCATGTAAAATGCGGGGCTTATTCCCCGAATATCCGCCAAAGTCCACCCAATAACTTTCTTCCTCTTGTGGAGCACCGCCAATGTAGAGTCAACATGTACGTTAGTTCAACAAGAGGAAATAATAACCAGTAAAGTAGAGCAAGGGCCAAGGAATTCATACCTGAGATGTGGAGGCAATGGCTTCAACTCCAAGATAAGAGGCTCTTCAATTGAAGGCTTTGTAGGAGGAGTTTTCCTATTCTCAAGATCCAAGGAAAGTTTCCGAGGTGCATAATTGTATGACCCCATCCCTTGCAAAGAATTGACATATTCCATGAAGCCATCCATTTAATCATCATCAAAATTGGGCCAAACGGCCTCCAACATGTCACCCACATTAATCGTGGCACTAGTATCATCAATAATCACATCGGTCACCAAGTCCACGAACGAACACACTTCATTGCTATTTGGTTACCTCATAGATTTTCACACGTGGAACATAACCATTTCATCACCCACCCGAAAAGTGAGTTCACCGGCTTCCATATCAACAAGAGCCTTCCCCGTAGTAAGGAAAGGTCTACCAAGAATAATAGGCACGTCATAGTCCACTTAACAATCAAGAATCACAAAATCCGCCGGGAGAATGAACTTTTCAACTCGAACCAATACATCCTCAATCACCCCCAACGGTCTCTTCATTGTACGATCGGCCATTTATAATCTCATAGATGTGGGTCTTGGTTGCCAAATTCCCAATGTTTTGAAAACCGAATAGGGCATCAAGTTGATACTCGCCCCAAGGTCACAAAGAGCTTTTGGAAATTCGGTACTTCCAATGGTACAAGGAATTATAAAAGCACCGGGATCTTTCAACTTTGGAGCCATCAAATGCATAATTTCACTCACTTGGTGAGTGACTTTGATAGCTTCAAAATTCATCGATCTCTTCTTTGTCACCAATCCTTCATAAACTTGGTCTATCCAGGCATTTGCTCCAAAGCTTCAACTAATGACACATTTATAGAGAGACTCTTCATCATATCAATGAACTTCTTGAATTGATTCTCGCTATTTTTCTTGGCAAGCCTTTGAGGATAGGGAGGAGGTGGCTTAGGCAATGGTGCCTTAGCTTTTTGAACTACCGGTTCCGGTATGTCAATCACATGATCCCTAGACGGGTTCACATCCTCTTGATTCACTTCCACCGTGTCATCAATATCAATCCTCACTTCATCATTTTCTTGCACAATATTGTTCGGGATATCCTCTTCTTCTATCACTTGCTCATCGTCAACAAGTTTCCTTTGACTTGAGGTAGGTACATTCCCACCTTTTCCACTTCTTGTAGTAACGGTCATGACATGCCCCGTAGTGTTCGCACCCTTCGGGTTCACCACCGTATCACTTGGTAGTGCACCCTTAGGACGAGAATTTAAAGCTTGAGAGATTTGACCCATTTGCACTTTTAAGTTACGGATTGATGTGTTGTGTGAAGCAAGTTGGGCATTAGAATCGACATTCTTCTCTATCATTTGCTTGAACATGTGCTCAATACGACCCATTTCATTGTTGGAGGAACTAGGACCATGAGAAGGATAAGGAGGTGGGTTGCTCGGTTGTTGGTACATCGGGGGCCTTTGAAAACCCGACCCTTGATTTCCTTGGTTATTGTTCCACCCGCCTTGGTTTTTGCCTCCCCAATTTTCTTGATTATTATTATTTTGCCAATTCCCTTGGTTATTGCTTCCACTCCAATTGCCTTGATTGTTTCCACTATTCCAATTACCTTGGTTGCTAGAATTCCAATTGTCTTGATTATTCGAAGGTCTCCGTTGTTGTTAACTAGGGCCTTGGTAGTTGTTTCTTTGCCTTTGAAAGTTGTTCATATATTGGACCTCTTCATCTTGATCATTGTAAGAATCTCGTTGATCAAACCCACTATTATCTTGCACGAAATTGTCCACTCTTTGTTGCACTTGTAGACTTTTTGTTCTTCTCTTGTTTACCATCATATTGACTCCTTCCATAACATTGATTTGCCTCGGGTTTTACACTTGTTGAAGTTGAGCCTTTGCCAATTGGTTCATGGTAGTTGTCAACTCGTCTATGGCATGTCCATGGTCATGTAACTCTTTATGAAAAAGAATCACATTTGGATCACCTTATGGAACATTGGCTCTAGATTGCCACGCCGATGAAGTATCTTCCATCTCATCCAAAATATCACACTCCTCCGCGTAAGGCGTAGTCATGAAGTTCCCACCGGCAAGTTGATTCACTACACATTGGTTGGTGGTATTGATCCCTCGATAAAAAGTTTATTGAATCATGTTCTCTGTCATATTATTGTTAGGGCACTATTTCACCATTTTCCTATATCTTTCCCATATCTCGTGTAGTGGTTCATTAGGCTCTTGCTTGAATGCTAGAATTTCATCCCGGAGAATAGCCATGTGCCCAGGAGAGAAGTACTTTGAAATAAATTTCTCCGCAAGTTCATCCCAAGTATGAATGGAATGATTTGGCAAACGTTCCAACTAATCTAAAGCTTTTTCACGTAGATATAAAGGAAAAATCCTTAGCCTCAAAGCATCCTCGAAGATATTTGTTTGTTTGCTTCCCCAACACGTATCAAGGAACCCCTTCAAATTTTTATATGCATTTTGACCCCGTGCACCCTTAATGTTGCGCCCTGAATCAATCAAAAAGCTTATTGATTTGATTCATCCCATTTCATTTATTTGGGCCGGTTCGAATCCCTCTCTTTTCGTTGATGACTTGATTTTGTTTTTTTTAAATTTTGAAATCCCTTGTTCTTATTCTTAGTTAAATGTGTGGAATAGACCAAATCATAAGAAAATTTTAAAATTAAGCAAGGAAAACCCCTTTTTATTTTATTCTTCACGTCCAGGATTATGTCCGGGATCATTTGATAGGAATCCAAAGATGAAGAGAGAAAAGAAAAAATATCACTATTGTGTAAACGAATAGTTTGAGAGTCAGCATTACACAATCTCCAAGATGATTTTTTTGAAAAAGAAAAAAGAATAGATCATCCATTTTTCTACCGCGACCTTGGATTGCTGTTGCATATTCAGCTCCTGTTGCAGCTGCTACCGCAGTTTTCTTGATCTACCCACTCGGTCAAGGAAGTTTTTCTGATGGTATGCCTCTAGGAATCTCTGGTACTTTCAATTTCATGATTGTATTCCAGGC